AAGAATGCATGATAGAGCGTTGGACATGTCAACCTTGTACTGAGACCCTTGGTTATTTTGAGTTAAGGCCATTGCTATCATTTTTTAGAAAGTAAATATTGTTTCTTATATATTTTCATTAAAGTCTCAGGAGAATAGGAGTATTCTAAGTATCTTTTAAAAAAAAAAGTAAAAGGATTATCAGTATGAATGTCTTTTACTTATTACATAAATAGTGGAATTTAGCTTTGCCTAAAACGTGGATAATATTTGCATTTTTGCCTTGGTTGGTTTTCTTTCCTATCTTCCTTTTCTTTTTCACTCTTTCAGGTTTATTTTGTTATCAGCTAGAAGGACAAGAGTAGGGACGTATAGCAAGAAGAGCGGAAGGAAGCCTTGGCCCCTTAAAATTTTGAAAAAAAAAAGTCTTTAGAATATGTATGTATTTTTTTTTTTTTTTTGCCAAGATATATATATTTATGTTAACTAAATTTAAAATGGCCCACTCAAAAATGTTAATATTATTTATCATAGTTTCATCGTTAATTTTGTGTATTGTAATTTAAAAGGGGTTGAATAACATTACTATATTCTATTTATTATACCTACTACTCACATTTCTATTTGTCTATTTATTGTACTCACTAATTATTATTTATAAATCTTTAAAATCAAGAGATTTGTTATAAATTTTAAATCACAATAACGTCCAAAAATAGAATTAATTTTTTAGCTTTATCAATTATACTAAGCCTTGACCAAGTGTTAAATGTGTTTTTTCTTTGTCAAAGATTGAATCTTGTTCATTGAATCTAGAAATACAATATTCAATTAATAAACCACAAGACTATTGATGTTTTTCATTTTCTGTTTAGCTAATTACAAAATTTCCTTGAGTATTGTATTTCACTTTTAATTTCTCCAAATCTTTATTTTATGTTGTCTTATAATATTTTTCAATTAGAAAAAATCATATTAGAATCATTTTTAAAAGTTAGAAATTACCATAGATTTTTATCTGAAAATTTTTTAACTTCTTTTTTAAAAAGTATATATATATATATATATATATTTCTTGTTTGGATGAAAATATTTTTTAACTATCTATGCTTATAAAAATATTGATTTGTTATTTTTGTTTTAATTTCAAACTATTAAAGGAATCAAGAAATATCAAATATCTCATCGAAAGATTATATAATTAATAATATTACTATTAATTTAAAAGATATTATTCTTTAATGTTTAATGTCATCATTGTAATATTTTCTTTTATAATTTTAAAAACTTGTTATTTTTTAATAATATATTTTTTGCATATTTATGTATTTTTATATTAATAAATATAATAAAATATAATAATACTAATTGATCCTTCAAAATTAAATATTAAGATTCATCATTGAATAAGAGAATCTGAACTTGAGCAACAGATGGAAATATTTATGGCAAGTACAAGTGGTTGGAATTTTGTAATCTAGGATATGTAACAGGGCTTCCCACTTGGGATTTCTACCACTTAGGCTGCCATTTCGCTTCACCTCAGTTATAATTGGAGTTTGTGCCAATCTAACCATACATTGCAAAAATTTTCATTTGGTTTTCATCGCCACAGTATGATTTATATCAATTTTTCATTAACCAATTTTGGTCCAGTGACCAATTGGGCATTCATTTTTTTTTCCATACAATTTAATTTTTTCTTTTTTATTTAAAAATGTTTGAAATAATTTTAATTAAATAATAAAGAATATTATTTGATAAATTATTGTTTTTATTAATTATTAATTATTTATTAAAAATATCATTTAGTAATTTTCCATTAAAATAATTTAATAATTATTTATTAATTTTATCAATACTAAATAATTTAAAAATTTTATTATATATAATTTTTAATTTAATATCTTTAATAATCATTTTTTTTATCATAATTTATCTCACATTATCATTACTCTTATATTTAAATATATATTTTATCATAAATTTTAATTTAATTATTATAATAATTAATTTTATTTTTGTCATTATTTTTAAATTTACTAAAATTAATCTCCTCGTCTGGACTCTGAAATGGTTTTGACGCAAAATTACTTAGTTAAACTTCTCTTACTTTGCGCTTTAAAATGTCTTTTCTTCAGACACGTGTGTGCTGACTTTGACTTGTACTTTAGTTGGGTTGGCGAAGAAAAGATCTACCTGAAAGAGATCGCATAAAGTTACCTTTATGATGTAAAGTAATTGTTTTCTTTGAAAAGTACAAGATTTCAGTTTCAGAGACTGATTCTTAGCCTCCCCATACCCCATTGGCCATCCCAGAGATTAGATAAAAAACAAGAGGACTTTTAATGACAGCAAAAGAATGTTTGTTTATTACGTTGAAGAAGTGGAAGCGTCTATGTACTTTTGTCCTTCATTCTCTTTAAAAAATTGACTGAAAGTAGCCGTGGTTGTGGGTAACTCCTTGATAACGAACTCCTGTTCCAATCTGCCATTTTCAGTATCTAATCCATTCATGATTGCAAAGTGATTGAAGAAAAGCAGAATAAAAATAAAGAACTATGTTTTAAATAATACACGTAATACCTAGGCTAGTGGTAGTGGTAATAGTTCTTTGGTGGGAATTGGCTTCCCAAATCCCAGGTTTTTTTGGCCATTAATGTTTGAGATGAAATAAAAGTAATTTTATTTCATAGAAATAAATATTATTTTAATGGAAATTGATCTGATTTGTCCCCCAAAATTAAGAAAATATAACTAGGGTCCTAAATGACAAAACTTTAACATTTTGGGTTTCTAAGAGTTAATGGATTGGCTTAATAGTTATTCCCCCGGAATTAGAAATAAACTGGGCTTAGTCCATTAAGCATGGGCTGGAAATTCGTGTTTCAAGATTGAGCCCAAATCTTTGAAAATGGTTCCAAATCTTCGATTCAAAGAGATTAAAAGTCATGAACTGCACGCAAAAAGGAAAATATATATATATATATATATATATCTATATATATGATCAAGGATAAAAAATGTCCAAATACCCATCTTTTGAAGAAACCTGTTGCTAAACGCATATTCTTAACTTCGTAAGATATCCATGTTTTTTTGGCAGCCATATGACCGATGTTTAAGCTATGCACTTCATTTTAAACAAAATTTGAGATTGTGAATTCCCAAATAATAAAGGAAAACAAGGGTTGTTTTCAACATAGGTCATACATACATTGTAAATTTAATTGTGGATTCTATGAAGATAAAAGAGTGCAGTCTCGGCCTATCAGATGCCACAAAGAAATCCAATAAATCCAAAAGGTCTGGATCAGTAGGTCATTGCAAACAAAATGAGATCAATAATAAACTGAAATAATGCATGATTTTAAAATGGGAAGGAAGAACAAGAGAAATCGTATAGATTCCAAGTTCAAGATTCCACTGACATGGAAAAACATGAAGACAATATCTACCGGCTGTTTCCTCAGGTCACTAATAGAAGTTACATGGAAAATTGAGTTCAAAGATCAAATGTCAGTCTTGGAAGCAAAACAAGAAAAGAAGATGGACAATTCCACAAATCTGGTGATTCCATAGCCGGCACAAGGCCATGTAATTCCTCTAATGGAGCTTTCGCAAGGCTTAGTTAAACATGGATTCAAATTGTTAACATGGAGTTTAATCATAGAAATGCCCTGGATATATTGGCAATGAAAGATGTGGGAGATCAGATTTGCCTTGTACGGATTCCAGATGGACTTGGATCAGCAGAGGATGGGAAACAACCAGAGAAGATATCAGAAGCAATCTTGCAGGTCATGCTAGGGAAAGTGAAGGAGCCTATAGAAGAAATGAATGGATCAGAAAGCAAGATAAATTGTGTCCTTGCACAGATCAGAGCTATAGGCCCACTGTTGGCACCAAACCGGCCTGGAGACTCAATCGGAAACTTAAGTCGAGAAGATTCAAGTTGTCTGAAATAGCTGAACCAACAGGTACCATAATCAGTCCTTTATGTTGCATTTGGCAGGTTCACCGTTTTTGAGACAACTCAATTTCAAGAGCTTAAACTGGGGCTTGAACTTACAGGTTGACCATTTATTTGGGTCGTGTGTTCTGATACAACAGATGGAAGAAATGATGCCTACCCAGAAGGGTTTCAAGAGAGAATAGCTGCTAGAGGGCAAATGGTTGGTTGGGCACCTCAAAGGAAGGTTCTTGCTCATTTTTCCGTTGCTGGCTTTATAAGCCATTGTGGTTAGAACTCAACAATTGAAGGTGCAAAGCAATGGAATCCCTTTCTTGTGCTGGCATTTGCTGATTAGTTCTTCAACCAGAACTATATTTGTGACTATTGGAATGTTGGATAGGGGTTCATCAGAGATGGAAGAGGAATCGTTACAATTTACAAGAGAAGAAATTAGGAGTAAGCTAGAGCAACTGTTAGGCAATGAAAAGTATAAAGAAACAGCTCTGGCTCTCAAGGAAACTGTCATGAGCAGCATCAGAGAAACAGGTTGCTCTGACGAAAACTTTAAGGATTTTGTTGAATGGATAAATGAATAGGTAAAATATCCTTGGCCTTGATCATGGATGAATTCCTTTCCAGCTATAAGTTTTTCCCTTGTTTAACTTAGAAGTACTTAATAAAACTAATTGATAGATATCCTCCAAAAAGAAAAAGAAAAAATGAATAGAACTATATATATGAAACCACTGATACTCAAAGAAGGATCCAAGACTGGGAGTTCATGCCTTAAGTCTAGTCATGCTACATAGAGATCGCATTACACTTACCAAGAAGAATTAACTAAGCTTCAAACTTCCAACGATGAGATAAAAGTAGACACTTAGGGTGTGTTTGGTGCATAAGATTAAGATAAGATGATATTATGATTAGTATTAAATTAAATAATGTTAAAATATCTTGTATTTGATATTTGCAAGGATTAGGATAAGATAATTTATTTATTGATCAAAATTATTCCCTCTCAAAGTTTGCATAATTTAAATTATTGATATAATTTTTAAAGATATAATAAGAAATGTAAATTTAATTTCATAGATTAAAAATAATCCTCTCTATTTTGAAAAGATTGAATCATCCTATGCCCAGAGGATGATTAATCCTCCTTACAATTCTATCCCTTTTTTTAGATTCAAATCATTCATAGTATAAGATGATTATCATCCTATGCATCAAACATAACCTTAATATGTCTTTATATCAGATATAGTACTTTGTGTGGCTAGTTCTTCTTTTCCTTTTTACCTTGTCGACAATATTCACCAGGGTTACAAGGTCTCTGATGAGGATTGGCTTGCTTGCCCACTGGGTTGTTTGGTGGAGAGTAACCATGTTGAAAAGCCTTGTAGTTGATACTATCATCCGTTGCAGCAGCTTCTGTGCCCAACATCTCTCGATTATGGCCTCTCAGATTTTTTTTTACTAGAAGAGAATTCATTGCTGTGTTCCCAGGGATTAGTGGGCTACCAATATCTTCACCTCCAACACCTCTTGTCCCATTTGTAAGCACCAGAAGCAGCATAAGGCAAACTTTGAACGGATAGAACCTATAACATTTAGCAAATCATAAGCTAGCATAAAACTTCCAGAGAAGCGCAATTCAAGATACATGTTTCTATATTTATTTAGACAAATACATCCCAAGGTGGAAGTACTGTAGCAAGTAGGTCACCGTAGCAAAATACTACAATTGGTACCGAGAGAAAATATTCAATGTTATATGTACAGAAGGTCTATCTTTGGGAACAAGTCATTTTGTTTCTTATACGTTCACTTAGGTCTATCTGCCATGTTAGTAAAGGATCAGAGTAGTGGATTGCTACATGGAGTTAAAGCTAGTCAAGCTGGTCCCAGAGATACATTTCTTTTGCCCATGAAAATATTCTATTTGGCAAAATGAATAGGATTAACAGCGAAAGGGTAAAGCATATGCACATAGAAATTAACTCTGGACAGAAAATAAATTTTGAGAAGTCAGGCACTGCTTTTTAGCAGCAACAAGAGGGAAGATAAACAAAATGAGTTCAAGGGCATTTTCGAGATCCAAGTGACTATAAACTCAGAGACATATTTGGGTATTCCATACATGGATGAAAAAGAAATCTTCATCAAGTCAGTTATCCACTTACACCATGAACTGTTTTTTATGTGCCAACTGCCAATATCACTGTCTCAGGAAATCAAGAGCTTGATAAGCAATTACTGGTGATAACAGAGGGATTCATTGGTTGAATTGGAAGACAATGTCCGAACCCAATCACACAAGTGGTATGCTCCTTACCTCTTAGATTTTAACTCAAGTATACAACTTGAAAAAGAATCATATCTGGTTGGAGCTGGAAGGCAATCTCTACTCGGTATGCACAACGGAAATTTCAACTACTACTGTCTATTAAACAGCAAAAGTGAGAATAAGAGAGAGAAAGAGAGTACCATCCTCTGCCTTCCGCCTGGTTTGTAATTGGTTTTGTGTTGGACACATCAGCTTCCGGAGCAAATTCATGGGTCTTGCTTTCATAAAAGTATAAAATGAGGCTTGAAACAGATCCCTTTATCTTTGCCATCATCTTTCTTCCAATGGAAATTACCTTTCCTCCTTGGCTGACCCTGCAAAGGCAGAGAACCACGTCGAGCACCTTCGCCAGGACCTTGCTTGTTTCTTCCACTCCCTTTAACAGTAGCGACGAAAAAGTTAACATATCTTTCTGACAGTCAGGCAAACATGAAGCTATGATCAGGTTATCAGCTCGGGCTATATAACAAGAGATGTCAGCCCATATATAAGGAATGTAATTGAAATCAACTAAGATTGCAGAAGATCCATGCCAGTTTCCTAAAATAATGTTTGAAATATTACAAATGACTAAAAATATCTTAATTAGACTAACATATATTCTTGAATTAATTTTGCCGCAATAGCTAGCTCTATAAAATACCGGGCAGAGGGAAAAAAAAATCCTACCGCCCAAAAATACACCATTTTAACATAAATACCATCATTATCACCAGAAAACCATAGTCAAAATAATCATCACCAAAAATATTTGCGAAATCACACCTGAAAATACCCCCAAAGAATCACCAAAAAAAAAAAAAGCAAAACAAAGACTAATGGCTGTAAAATACACTTGCGGGTAGTTCATAAATCATAATCGTTAAACATCCAACCAAAAACTAATCAGTTGATCACGTGTAAGCAGAGAAAACGCCTATCAGACGGCGGTAACAGACAGAAATAACAGATAATAACAAGAAAACTGATCTGAACTTTGATGCGATGCTAAAACATCCAATCTAAAACCAATAACGGTGAAAAGATCCAACTTAAATAAAAGACAAAAGAAAATCCAATATTAAACATATTCGAAATAAGACAACTTTAACCATAATTATCAATCTATCAAATCAAAGGGAAAAAACTTGTTTATGATTTACCCTCCAAAAACAGTAAAAATTTTGTTGATAGAAAGTTCATGCTCTAAAAACATTTTGGTTTTTAGGTAACTGAATAGACAGACATACCTTGGTTGGAGACCAAAAGATATGAAACAATGGAGAGAAGAGAGAGAGATCCCGGCACTAATGACCTGCAGGCGAACGGAAATGTAAGGGGAAATCGGTTGGCGACGGATATCTGGATTTTAAAGAAGAGATTTTGGGAAGAAAAGAAAGAGAGAGATAAAAATGGTTAAGGAAGCAAATCCGACGATAGAATGCTAGGGGATCCGCTTAATAAGTTTGATGCAGGGAGTGAAGATGGTGAGAAGATTTGATTCCTTTTTTTGTTTGGATTTGGTAATATTAATGCAAGTATAGATTATCCTTTGAGGATTCTTTTTCGACACCTGTCCTTTTCATTTCTTAACAAATCTTTTATTGACACGTGTAACTTTTTTGGTTAATGGCTCGCAAGCTTCTTGTTAAAAATGTGATTAAAGGAAATGCCTTACTAAGTTTGACGCGGGAGAGATGGTCCCCACTGAACGTATCAGTTCCTGCCAATTACTCTCTTCTGCCACCACAAGCCGACGGAAATTTCAAAGCTCAAACACTCAAAACATTCAAAAAGGGGGGCAAGTCTTACGCAAGCATGTCATACATAACGGCTCACACCACAAAGAACACCTTTTCCAACTCGATTTCAAACCAAATTGTTTAGATGTTTTTCAGGGAAATTAAAAACGAGAATTACAACTTAGATCAACAAACTAAAAATGTTTAGTTTTTCCGCCATGACGATAAATAATTACTACAAAGGAAAAAGAGAAAGAAGAGACTTTTTGCAAAAACTTCGGCGTTTGGAGAGATATTTTTGCCTATGAATTTTACAAAGGGAGCTTCAATTTCAACCTCTTTTTTTTTTTTCTTTTCACTTTTTTTTTTCAAAATCATTTTAAAATGAAATTACTTAATTTTTTTTAAAACCCTTTTCTATACATATCCAAAAATTTTAAAATTAAAATGAAAAGAGATAATTAAATAATTTTATTTAAAGATAATTAAAAAAAAAGAGTGAATAGAAACACCCTTTTACAAATTACCTTCTAGATGCATATATTCCACCCCTAATCTAATTTTTATTTTTTATTATCTTTTTATTTGTTTTGTGAATTCTAAATCTTCAAACTTCATTATTAGTAGTATGGTAATCTAATTTCGAATTAAAGATTTTGATATTATAATGGCTTTATATTATCTATATATTATATTAAAATAATCTCCATTTTTTAAATTACAATTTTAAATCAAATCATACTTGAAATTAACCATGAATTGAGGTTAATAGTAAAAGTAAAGTTGATGTATGACGTGAATTATGGAAGAAATATTAATATGTAGGGCTAAAAATGTCATGGTTCATGTAATAGTTAATAGAGGTATAATTGAGTCGAGTTGAGCAGAGCTAGTATGTTAGGATACTCAAGCTCAAACTCGACTCAAAAATTAAAATTTGAAACTCGATTCGAATTTGATTGAATTTTTTTTTCAAATTTAAATTTAACTTGAAATAAAACTCAAACTGAACTTGAGCTCCCTTGATTTGAATCATGATAAAAAATTTGTGATTTTTCGATAATTGACATTTTATTTTCTCCCCTTTAAAGAAATTGGACATTGAAGGCCTCTCTCCTTCGAAGCCGAAAGATTTGAGAGCGTGATGCGCACAGACCAGGGCGAATATTTCACCCAAGCACTTTTTGAATCTGCAGTCCTACTTTTGCAGCAGGATTTGGATGAGTATTGGAGCGAGATAGTGTTGGAAGACCCCACTTTGATTTTACCGAAACAAAGAAAAGCGTGGGATCAATTGGATGAAATTGAACGGGAACAAATGCACCAAAAACGAAGAAGACAGAGTGAATTGGATTGGGTGAGTCTAAGTGTCCGCGCGAACACTCTTGGAAAAGACCCCCTATCCCTATTCTAGTTTGTCATTATTCCTTTTTAAAAATGGAATAACATATGCTTTCCTTGTGATGTCTAGAAAAACACAGACATTGGAACAAAGTTTTTTGTCATGTCCATGGAATAGCGCCCGGAGGGGGAGAAAGGAAAGTCATGAGATTGAAAGAGATAGGGATAGCGCCACTGGGGGAAGAGGAGAGTCGTGAGATTGAAAAAGATAAAGCTTCTAGTTTTAGGGATTTATATTTTAAGAGTAAAATTATAATTTATAGTTAAAATAATAAAATATATATTAAAATAAAAAGTTCAATAAGCTTACAAGTAATTTGAGTTAAGTATTAAAATATTTAAATTTAATTTATTTGATAAATTAAATTACTCAAATTTAAGCTCGATTCAAAAATAATTAAATTTAATTTAATTTTTTTTTAAATCAAAATAAAATAACTTGTGAGTATAAATATATCTTTTACATCCTTAATAATTAATTTATGTGACGTAAGTTTAGATCTCCGTCACATTTTTTTATATGCTCAAAGTACATGACATCACAATATGTACTATGCACATGCATTTTCTTTTCTTTTTTGTTCTTTTTGTATATTTTTTAATTTAAATATATTCCTAACCACCTTATCAAAATCTAAAATATTAATTTTAATTACCTTATTTGTAAATGAAATTTTTTACACTTTTTACATTTACAGACAAAATAAAAAAGGTTATTTAAATTGCATTGTGAAAATTTTATTTTTCTTTTTAGTTTTATATTTGCTTTATTTAATTTAATTTTTGATTTTCGTATTTATTTATTTATTTTTATTTACATACATATTTAAAATTTTAAATTAGGAACATGTTTTAATCATCTTGCAATTGTTGGATAGACAATGTGGCAATTGATGTTGAAGTTGATGCATTCAACTCAGAGTCTTCAGTTTCCAAGGCTCCTTTCAATTTCTTAAAAAAAAATAGGCATTTGATTTGTTTGTTGTAAGACCTGGAGAATGCAATTGATCATAGTTGGCTCATTGTCTTGCTGCATTTTTATTTGACATATGAGCTTTGCGATTTTCAAATCCTTTTCTTCTATCACTTTAATGAGATCAGCTATTTTTCTTTTCTACGTGGTTGAACTGATGGCCATGGCCAACATGAATTCAGAAATAGAATTCAATGGCATTAATGGTGGAGACTCAGAATCTTCACTTGACTTTGAAGTTCCTTTCCCAGTAAGACAGTGAATCTTGGCAAAGGCTATTGCAAGATCACACTTGTACTATTAAAAGTAATCTTACTTTATCTCATAAGTTTCATTTATCTAAAAATTCAATTCTAAAATCTTTTAATGCTTTTTAACCTAATTTTATACTTGCAAGTTGTAATAGCTTATAAATGGAAAGTGGACATAATTAAGAAACTAAAAGTAATTAATTTTTACGGGATTAAAAATGATCTCTCACATTTGATCTTAATGTATAGGACTTAAATTTCTTAGGCGGATAATGGATAGATGATGACCTTTCTTTGTCACATGTCAAATATAATCACCATATCCCTCTAATCTTATTTGATGTTTGATAATTCGTATATTTATATTTATTTATTTTATGTCAAATATATAAAACATGTAAATTATCATATTATAATTTTTAATGGCATATTAAATGTAAAATATATTTTTTAAAAAAATTTTAAATTATATTACTTTTATATATTTTTCAGTATCATATCATCATATCCAAATGTATATTTTTATAAAAATTTCTTGTTATTTTTGTTATTCGAGGGATGTTTAGATACAGAGTTAGGATCATATTTTTTAAGATATAAAGTCATGTTAAAAATGAAATATCAAGCATCTTTTTTAAGTATATGACAATTACTTATGTACATATATTTTAAGAATATTGTACATATTTTTTAATTAAATAAATTTATATTTTGTCTCGTTTGTACATATGACAATTGCATGTAATTAAGATCATATGCCTATTGAATTAAGGTCCTAAAAGTCATTGTCATTTCCTATTTAAAATTTTACATATTAGCATTTCCTTTTTCTTAACTATTTTTAATTATAGTATCCATCAGTAAATATTCTTGGTAACCACTCCTTTTTGAAATTCTCCCTTAAATATTCATGTTTTGTTTGGTTTGGGAATGTGGCTTAAAAAATGATATTCATAAATATAGGAATAATTCCTTTTATTATTATTTTTTTAGGGGTCGTTTTACATGTTTACATCACTACTCTTTCTAGTTGAAAAATTTTTTTTGAAACGTTACAATCATTTAAAATAAACAATATTATTTGTCTCATCATATTTGTTCTAAATTTTTGGACTCACTTATAATTATTAATTTGATTTTATATCTTACTTACGAATAAATTAATTTATCTATGAATTGGTAGATTTTATAGTTAAATTTATTCAATAAATATATGTAACGTTAAAAAACAAAAAAGTTTGGAAAAAATTGGCAGACAAGCCGGTTGACTCTTTAAAGTATATCCTAATAAATTATAAACACAAACAAAAAAAATTATATATACACCTAAAATTACTATTTCATTGGAAACACAATAGAATGAATAATAATTATTACAAACTTGTATATGTCAATAATTTTTTTTTTTAATAATTAAGTATTTAAAATTATTTGAGTTTAAATATTAATTATTAAAATTAAATCAACATTATAACAATAAATTATATTAAAAGTCGTTTTAATATAAGGCTAACTTTATAAATATATGTTATAATTAAGGCCGAAATGAAAGTGCCTCTTGAGATTCAAAATATGATACTTAATTATCCTATGATTTGTTTGATTTTTTTATTTAAAGCCATTATTTTTCCCTTACATTTTATTTTTTTCTCTCAATTAATATTTTCTCTCTCTAAAAATTTATTTTCTCTTTCTAAAACCAAATCAATTCTTTTTCTAATTTTTCTCTCTAAATAAACCAAACTTTCTAAGTATTCTCTAACTTCTCTCCACCAACTTTAAACTCAAGAATAAAACCCATAAATTAGTTAAAAAACCACCACTTGCTCCACCATTGATCATCGACCTTGGCCTCTTTTCTTCTCTGTGTGGCATAGTTCCTCTCTTTTCCTTATTTGCCTAATACCCAGCAAAAGCTCAAATTTTGATAAAAGATGCTGCTACCTTCTTTTCTATTTAAGCACTTTAAGACACGACCAAAACTCAAAACTTTTCAAATTGTCCCTACTATTATTCACCACTCAAGAACCTTAAAACAATATT